AGTATGCTACAACAACACAACAACTTTGCATCCATCACAATCTGCTTCTAGCTTGGCAAATGGCACAACACCTTTATATCCATCATCAGTTGCACAGAGGAATGGTGGTGAAGCCTGGGTTGAAGTTGGACGGCTTAAGACATATACACCAACAACTGATGATATTGGACATCCCCTTAAATTTGAATGTGTTGTTTTAGATGCAGAAACCAATCTTTCAATTGGACTGGCGAATACTATATTGACATCTCATGTGATTCCAGCTCCATGTCCTACACCACGCCGCTTAATTTCAGTCAGAGAAGGTGACGTTTCAGCAATTCCTGATTTGGGTGGCCGCATTTCGTCTTCTGGAACATTTACTGTGCTCTCGTACAATATATTATCTGATTCATATGCCACAAGTGAATTATACAGTTACTGCCCGTCTTGGGCCCTTTCTTGGACATAACGTAGACAGAATCTATTGCGTGAAATAACTGGCTATCGTGCTGACATTGTTTGTCTTCAAGAGGTACACATGATGGTAGATTTTTGGAAGTTAGTTCAGTCTTTTAAAGCATAGGATCTATTTACTGCTTCCATCCCAAAATGAAGTTTGCAATTTGACTTCATGGATTTTTAAGGGAAGTGTTGAAAGAGAAAAAAAAGTGTGGTTTACATTTGTTTAGAAGAGAGAAATTTTGTGGGAGATGTTATCTTCCTTAATAGGAAAGAAAAGAAGTCTAAAATTTATTTTGGAGCCTCCAAAAAAGAAGTGTAAACTTCATTTTGGGAAGGAGGGAGTATATGTTAATAGTATGGAGAATCCCAAAAGTTTGTTTGCATAATGGTATATTCATGATGCAATATTTATGCCACCAAATTTTATTGTCCACTAGAAATCTTTTTTCACTTTAAATATTGACCAAATGTACATGCCATTGTCACTTCTTACTCCTGTAAGTAAATTCTATTGATAAATGAGCATTTTGAATCTCGCTTCTGACATGCATCATTCATTCATTCCCTTTCAGGTTCTAAGTGATCATTATGAAGAGTTCTTTCGTCCTGAATTGGACAAACATGGCTATCAATCTTATTTCAGAATGAAAAGTTGTGAGGTTAGTTATATTGATGAAATGTTATTAATCTAAAAGATCGTTGCATCTATGAGCTGATATAACTTTTGTTTGCAGGGGTATGGTAGAAGTATGAATAGTGTTGATGGCTGTGCTACTTTTTTTTGACGGGATAGATTTTCGCACATTAAGAAATATGAGGTATAAAAAGCCTAGAAGTAGCTGAATGCTGAGGTAATTTTTGCTTTCTTAATTTTTATGCTTTGCGCAGGTTGAGTTTAACAAAGCTGGGCAATCATTGGCTGATGCTTTAGCTCCCAGTGTTCAAAAGAAAACTGCTTTAAGTCGTTTGATCAAGGTATCAAAATTAATTAATCAAATGGAGTTGTGTACAGCTATGGCTTTTAGATGCATGTTATTCTGTCTTGCTGACTTGTTCTGTCTATTATTTATACGCACCATTGCATTCTGTCTTGGTAGGTTATTCTATCTATGCTAATTGGCTCTAATACAGGATAATGTGGCACTCATTATGGTCCTGGAGGCAAAGTTTGGTAACCAGGGTGTTGATAACCCCGTAAAGCGCCAGTTAGTATGTGTGGTAAGTACTCTTATACATATCCCTGTGCATGTTATAGGCTGGTTTACTTGGATTTTTGCGTTATATAATAAGATTAATAACTTATTCCTTGCAGAGTTACACATGATCTCTTTTTGTATAACACAGGGCTGATCCTTTATTATATGACTACTTTAATATTATGAATATCTAGTAGATACTTCCTCTGTTCTTCAAATACTGCCTAATTGGAATTTTACACTAATCGTGCTCTCCATTTTGATCATCTTGTTGTGATTTAGCTTAAAGAAACAGGCATGTAGGGTCTTGTTTGATCCATGATCCGTTTCAATTTAAAATTTCATATTATCAATTTTTCAAATTTATATTAAAGCACATTTGAAGATATTAATGATTTAATTTGTGCAATTGCAAGCACATTATTGTAATATTTATAAATAGAGGAAATACTTTGCTAATTTATAGGGCTATTGTGGATTTAAATGTTGTTTGTTACTTAAGGTCTAGGTGGATTGCAGGTTTGCAGCAGGTGTCTGTTGGCAGGAGCAAAAAAAAAAGAAAAAAAAATTAAACCGATACCGGCGGTGCCGGTAACGAAAATTGGGAACCGGACACGGTACCGGTTGAGGATGTACCGGTACCGGTTCCAGGAACCGGTTGCTCGTCTCCGGTGACGGTGACGGTACTCGGTACCGGCTCCGGTGACGCTACCGCACCAGTACCGTGTCCAGGCCTAATCATACGAAGTAATATCGTTACGCAAAACAATACAAAAGTATGATGTGAGCTTTGGTATGAGGTATCCATTCAAAAGAATAGACATGTAATCAGATGCTTTGACTAGCAAGTGAACATCTTGATTCGTTGATCTTTTAACAAATGATTAAGACAATCGAAGAATTATGTCATTAAAAGCCAACAATATGTAACTCTTGTTAAATACGACAAGCCTTGATTTGCCATATGTAGGGCTAAAAATAATGATAAAAATATTATCTTTATAATATTTTTAAAATGGTAGCTTTAAAATCTAAGATGTTGCAAATGGTTTATTTTCTCTAAAATTTGTTCATATTGAGAATGGTTTTTGGTTAATCATAGTGTAACTTGTGGTGGTATCGTGTTTAATGGTTGGAAGTTGCAAAAATTTTAAATTTTTAAAGAGTCATTTTATAATTAGTTCTTTATAATATGAGGTTTTCTATATTTGATTCTCTATTATTAAATATTACTCTCATAGTACTTTTATAAATTACTCCGTACTTTTCATAAATAGTCTTTTTTTATTTTTTATCATGTTGGTGTATATTTAAAGCCTTTTTTTATCTCTATATCTAGTGATGTATTCGGATATTAGTTAAATCGACATTAAAATAATAATAACTATGATTGTAGGCTGGGATACGATGAAATACCACATCTGTAGACTACGATTGTAGTAAAAAGCGACTGTAATTCACAAACGATGTATTAGGACAGAAAAGATTTATTATCATTGTTAAATTATACTTTTAGCCCTTAAAATAACCTCAACATAATTGATTATCAAAAAAGGATTATTTGTAGAAAGATATCAATAAAAGTAGAACAACCAGAATAATATTTGATGACAAAGACTAAATGGAGAAATCTATTGTATCAAAGAATCAATTATGAAATTCATTACTGCATATTTTATTTAAGTAAAAACGTCCAAACAATTTCATTGCAATTCATTCTTTTCTAACGTAGTACGGAGTATGATTCTAGTTAGCTACCCAACCCACCACTAACGCCTACTTTGGCAAACAACTAATACTCCCTCCGTCCAGGTAAGATTAGCGTTACGAGGCTTGACCGACTTTATTTTTTAATTCAATTTAATTAGCTATAGAAGTAAAATTTTAAAACAAAATTTATATAATACTCCCTCCGTCCTAATTCTTTCTTCTCAGTTTGACTTTTCTCCATTTTTAATTTTTGGCACTCCGTCCATTTTTTAATTTATATAATACTCCCTCCGTCCTAAAACAAAATATTTTTTGAAATTTTTTTTGCAATCATTCAAAATATAGAGTTAGAAGATAATTGGTGTAAATACATGAGGGTACTAATGTCATTTGTCATCTTTTTTTTTCTAATGGGAAGGTAGTTTTAGGACGGTGAAAAATGGGAACTGGAAGATAGTTTTAGGACGGAGGGAGTAATAAACTACATGAAAATTTCTACAAAACTAGAGGTGATAAGATTATATTATTTTATGAAATGACTAGTAAAAATTAGCAAACAAAGTGAGTAAGGTTTGATCCTGTGAATAGTGTCTGGGAAGATCTATAGTGGACAGAGGGAGTAATATTGACTTTTATGTTTTTGAAGCATTGATTTTTTATACACATTAGTTTGAAAAAATGCGAACAAATTAAATACTACTGGTATATTTTAATTCAGTCAATAATATTTAAAATATAATAATAAAAATGTTACACCTCTGATGGCTCTGAACATATCATGTTTCACCTTTAAATTACGAATGTCAATCATTCCAAACCATGTTATTTTGAAATAAAATGATATAATACCATGACGTGTTAAAATGATTCAAAAAAAATTCAACATTCAAATTCACATAATTCAATGAATAAATAAAATTATTCGAAAACAAAATGCACACAAATTAAAAGATGATAAATTCAAAGAATAAAAGATGAGTTAAAAAGCAACTATTTTTTTCTAATTTACAAGATATTAGATTATTAGTGTTTATAAACTATATAGTAATATTCCTAAAAAATGTACGAGTAGTAGTAGTAATAATAATAATAATAATAATAATAATAATAATAATAATAATAATAATAATAATAATAATAATAATAATAATAACAACAACAACAGCAACGACAACAACAATAATAATAATACCTCCATCTCAATGTATTTGTCTAAAAATTTGGACAACAATTAAATAAAAGCTATAATGTATATTAGTATAAAAATGATTTTATTAGTTATATCTTGTGGAGAATGTTCAATATGTGAAGTCATTGTATTGATATATAACACAAATTTAGAGTAATTGATGATTAAAGATTATCGAAATAGTCAAACTGAACAAAAATGTACTAAGATGGAAAGAGTAATAATAATAACAATACATGTGATAGTAATGATAAATGAAATAACATTAAAAGAAGGAAAACAAAATACAAAATACTATATATATAAGGGGAAGTGAAGTACATAAATAAACAATTTAGTTTGTGATATTCATTTTTAACCTCACATAATTTAGTTCGTGATAATCGATTTTAACTTCAAATAATTTGGGATAATCTGAATTTAATTTTACATGATTTTGTTCTTGATAATCGGTTTTAAGTATTTAAATCTCGATCATGCTCTATATGATATTTTTGTATTTGGTTTGAGATGAAAAAACAAATTCCATTTAAGAAAATAAAACAAGTCGAAACGATTACACACCAATATGGTATCATGTTAATTTGTTTTTTTTCTCCCCATCGTGGATGGATAGAACTAGCAAATCAATCGGTCAAATCAAATTTCGAGTCAGTCACTTTGGATTCGAGTTACTTAGGGTTCGGGTTGAGAACTACGTTCATGTTCTCTTCAACTTATTTTTATTGCTTTTTTTATCTTATTAGAATCATATCAGGTTAGATCAGATCTAGTTGTTTATATGACTATAATCAAATTAGATGAGATCAGACCAGATCAAAACTATTCCAATCAGATCACAATGATTCCAATTAGATAAAAACCATTCATAACCTAATACTATCTGGTTCGGATGATCCGGCGATTTTGACCTTTACTTATTTTTTTGGACTGAAGTAATTCTCAAGATCTAGTATCAGTATCTAAGGGTGTTAATTCGGATATATTCTATCCAATCCAATCCACTTTTCAGGTATACAAAATTTTTGGATCGTTAAATATATATTCCATGTCCGATTCGAAAATCATCGGATACCTGAATTTTAGATATTCAAAATTTCAGATCGGATCAATGGAATATCTGGGAAAATATTTATATTTATTTTATAATTTTTATTGTTTCCAATAATTCTAAAAAAGTATTCAGAATGATTTGTTATTTGTTAAAATAGTAGAGATCACAAATTAGATTTGAATTTGAAGTTTAGTGTATTTTAAATGTCATAATTACTTTGATAGTGTTATCATAAGTTATAATTTTATAAATGTATAAGAAAAGAATATGAACATAATTGACAAATAAAAATATAGCCAAGAAGAAAAAAGTAAAAAACTGGAATTTAGTGTAAATTTAAGTAATTATGATCATGAAAATGATTTGGGCTTAAATTGTCTAAGGTTTAATTTTATATTCATTTTTTTAAATATAAACTTTAGATATCCACATATATCCGAAATCTTAATATGTCATTCCATATCTGACCTGAATTTTTTAGATTACCAATTCGAAATATAAAAAAACTAAAATATTCGATCACATATCTATTTTTCAGATTGAATTGATTCGGATCGTGGACAGATATTTCAAATCACATATTTATTAATATTACAAATAAAAAACTAAATATATATTTTTTTAAAGTAAGATGATTATGCGATATTATTAAAATTTTGTATGAAAAATATAAATTTATACATTAAAAACGAGTAGTAAGAAAAGAAATATAATTTTATTTTTATTTTCAAGGCATTATCCTTCATATTAAAGTACATGCTTAAAAAATATATCACATTTGTCTGTCAGGGCGGATAATTTAGTCGAGTTTAACATATTTTTGAAAGTTCATTTCGAGTTAGGTCAACTTCAATTTTGGGCAACAAAATATTTATTCAAAATCAAATATTTTCAGATCAAGTCTCGGGTAAAAAAATGTTATGTTAATTTTCGACAGGTCTATTACGGGGGGGGGGGCATTGGAGCTGGCTTTTCGTTTGGGGTCCTTGGATGGATCGTCTTCGTAGTCGCGGATATTATTATCTCTCATTTG